TTCCAGAAGTCCTGAGTTCAATTCCCAGCAACCACATGGTGGCTCATAATCATCTGTAATGAGATCTGGTGCCCTCTTCTGGCCTGCAGAGATACATGCAAACAGAACACTATACATGATAAATTAATAAATCTTTAAAAAAATATTCGGAAAGGGTAGGCTCTTAGGGGCTGGAGAGATGCACAGTGGTTAAGAGCACTGCTTGTTGCTCTTCCAAATGGGGATTTGATTCCCAGAGCCCCCATGATGACTCACAACTGTTTGTAACTTCCAACTCAGGGCATGATACCCTTTTCTGGCCTCCACTGGTACTACACACATGTGGTACACTGACAATATACAGACATCCATACATGTCATTTGAAAAAATCATTTATTTGGTTGGGTTTTTGTTTGTTTGTTTGTTTGTTTGTTTGTTGTTGTTTTGAGACAGGGTTTCTCTGTGTAGCCCTGGCTGTCCTGGAACTCACTCTGTAGACCAGGCTGGCCTTGAACTCAGAGAGACCCTCTTGCCTCTGCCTCCGGAGTGCTGGGATTAAAGGTGTGCATTTTTACTGCCCGGCAATGGTAGTTTGTAACCTTTAAAATGTGTGAATCTCTTTTAATAGTGTAAGGCTGTTAGTAGTAGGCCCCAGCTATTGTCATTGACTCCCGGTCTTAGTACTATGTATACACAAGTGCTTCTCGCAGCAGTTAAAGCAGTTAAAAAAATCTCACTTCCCAGAGTTCCCTTCTGTCCTCTACACCTGTGATAGGCTTACTTCTTCTGAGATTTCCCCACATTGAAAATGTAAGTTTCTGACTACAAACTCCATTTCCATTTTCTTTGGCAAATTGTCTCATTAGATGACCTTAATTCCTATCTAGTACATAAATCAAACTTTTGCTGTAACAAGCTTTTTTGCTTGGTTTAAGACAGTCTTGCTATATAACCTTGGCTGGCCTGGAATTTGCTGTGTAGACTAGGCTGGCCTTGAACTCATTCACTGCCTCTGCTTACCAAGTGTTTGGCTTAAAGATGTGTGTCACCATGCCCCGCTATGTTTTTTTTTGTTTTGTTTGTTTGTTTGTTTTGTTTTTAATTATGTGTGCTTGGTGGGGAGAATGGTATGTGTTAGTATTTAGGCATTTTGCTGGCCTACCTTTGGAGTTCTGAGAAGATACGCCCTCAGTTGCTGCCACTAAGAGCACCACCTGTGCCTATTCATTATGTTCCCTTTTAAAAGGGTCCTGCCCACCTCCTATGCCTCTCCTACCCCCCCACCTCTCTTTCCTGTTCCTGTCCCTGGAGGCCAGTCTCCCCGATCCCCTTTTTCACAATCCTTTTCCCTTATACAAAACCCCTCCGCTTGAACTCTGTTGCATAGCGTCTTTCTCTTGAGCAGCTTTTTTGGTTTTAATCACAACGGTATGCACATGAGTGCAATGTGGCCTTGGAGGCCAGAGATGGTGTCTGGTCCCCTGGAGGTGGAGGTACAGGAGGTTATGAGCCCCCTAACATGGATGACAAAAACAGAATTTAGGTCCTTTTTTGAAAACAGCATATACTCTTGACCCCTGAGCCATCTCTCCACCTCTTCCCTACAACAAACTCTTAGGGTATCAAAAGTTACATTTGACTAGTAACTCTTCAGAGTCTACCTGAAAAAAAAAAACCTATGGTTTCCCATAGTATTAATAGTTATCTCTTGTGACAGTGGTGTGGATTCTTTCTCTAAATACCCTTCTGAACAGTTCAGGGCACTGCAATAATTGTTTCAAGTTCTATAGCTCACTTAAGTGCCACACCTAAGTACCTTTAAAAATTATTAAAATTTGTGTTTTAAAAAGCTTTTATGAGAGCCGGGCGTTGGTGGCTCACGCCTTTCATCCCAACACTCGGGAGGCAGAGGCAGGCAGATCTCTGTGAGTTCGAGGCCAGCCTGGTCTCCAGAGTGAGTGCCAGGATAGGCTCCAAAGCCACACAGAAAAACCCTGTCTCTAAAAATAAAAAAAAAAAAACCAGCTTTTATGAGGAGTAGGGCTCATGGCAGGAACTGTAGCCAACATGACATCTGAGTACAAGACTGAGTTATCCAAAAGTCTACAAAGTGTGAAGTTCATGCAGAGGACACTGGACTTGAACCCAGAAAACAGGAACATCATTAGTGAGGAGCACTGGTACTTGGGTTTGCCAGAGCTTGAAGAAAGAGAGAGCTTCATGATAGGGCATGGACTCCTTATTATGTAGAGATCTGTTCTATGTACAAATGTCGTTTAGGGGTTTAATCCCGAAGCTGAGAAGTTAACGTTTCAGGAGATAATTAAGAATAAGCAGATTATTAAGATGCCACAGTGGAATTTGAAGAAACAGAAGAAATGACTAGAAAATACGAGACTTTGGTGGGAACAATTGGAAGTTTGCCAAGATGGACTCTGCCAATTATGAAGATGAAAATGGAAATAGAAAAGCAATTAAAGCAAAGATGTTCTTAGAGCTCCAAATTAAAATGGAAGACTTAGAATAACTCCGGGGTGCCCAAGAGCACAGCATAATTTGGAGCATAACATAATTTGTAACTCATCCTGATGTAGAGTAGTTGTTACTATTCTAATGTTGACTTGTGAAGAAATGCAGTTTTGAGAACATGCTGCTCTTGAGACAAATGTGTATCAATGTTATATATACATCCTTTTTTTAGTGGCATTCTTTTCTTTTAAGATTTATTCTATTTTGTGTATATGGATGTTTTGCCTGCATGTATATCTATGTGCCATGTATGTGCCTAGTGCCAGAGGATGGTGTCAGATTCCCTGGGATTGGCATTACAGATAGTTGTGAGCTACCATGTGGGTGCTGGGATTCAAACCCAGGTCATCTGGAAGAGCAGCAAGTGCTCTTAACCACTGAGCCATCTCTGCAGCCAGCCCCTTTAATGACATTTCTCAAGGTAGGACTTTAGATCTTGATCTTCAAATACACATGTACACACTGGGCTGCTTCCTAAAGACTTTTTGACTTTTATGTATAAACAAACACACACACACACACACACAGAGAGAGAGAGAGAGATAGAGAGAGAAGAGAGAGAGAGAGAGAGAGAGAGAGAGAGAGAGCATGCTCTCCATTTACTGACCTGGAATATATAGTTATTAAATTAGTGCCATTGTTTAAACTGCCCTTATATTTTATTAATCCTGACAAGTCAATTTACATACTTTAGAATCAAATGTTATAAGAACTCAGCAAATACAGCTTACCAAGAACATACATTCTCCAGTTTGAAGTATTTAAATGTTATGAGGTTATTGTCAGTTTATAGGAGATATGTTTTACTTGTTTGTTTACAAACAGTTAATTGAGTTACTTTTTGATGTTCTATAAAAAAGCTTTTCTTTTGGTTGGGTGGTGGTGATACATGTCTTTAATCCCAGCACTTTGGGAGGCAGAGGCAGGTGGATCTCTGAGTTGGAGGTCAGCCTGATCTACAGAATGAGTTCCAGGATGGCCAGGGCTACACAGAGAAACCCTGTTTTAGAAAAAGCAAAAGAATACAAAAAACAAAAAGTTTTTCATTCTAATGATCAATGGCTTGCAATGGAAGGTTTAGCAAATAAATATGTCTAGTAGACATATATAAGTATGATACATATTAAGAAGATTAAGTAACACAAAATCCAAATTTTACTGGTCATTTTATATTTAATTCACTCTCGAGAAAGTCCTTTTTATTATCTACAAATAATGAAGGAACCACTTCCCCTATGTATAAAACCAAAGATATTTTATGTCAGGTAGGTAAAGCAACATATTCTATATGAATTCAATTACTAAATGGTCACAGACTATTGAAACACCTCCATAGGCATGGAATAGAAAGACTATTTCTCAAGTAATTCAGGTATCAACAGGGGTCTGGCCAAATTTTTTTTGGGGGGGCAGGGGGTGTTGGGAGAATCTCTTATTTTCATAAAAACTAGCAGATTCATAAGTATGACAATAAAATGTATTTTCCCTATAATATCCTTAAGTGAAAAATGGGCTTCATAGGACACAAGAATTAATCCCTCACATTCAAAGAGTGCAACAAAGCTGGGCTGGTGGCACAGACCTGTCATCCCAACTAATTGGGATACCAAGACTGGGAGACTGAAAGTTTAAGGCCTGCCTGAACTACAGAGGGACTTCATGGCCAGCCAGGGAAGTTTTGTGAAACTCTCCCTCCAGATAAAGAGTAAAGCAGTCTAGGGATATAATTCAAGTGCTGGAGCCGTGGGTCTCACCTTTCTTAACAGTTTGATTCTTTAACACGGCTCCTCATGTTGTGGTGACACAACACCCATAACATTACTTTCTTTGCTACTTTACAACTGTGATTTTGCTACTATTTTTTTTTTTTTTTAGTTTTTTGAGACAGGGTTTCTCTGTGGCTTTGGAGCCTGTCCTGGAACTAGCTCTTGTAGACCAGGCTGGTCTCGAACTCACAGAGATCCACCTGCCTCTGCCTCCCGAGTGCTGGGATTAAAGGCGTGCGCCACCACTGCCTGGCTGATTTTGCTACTATTATTAATCATAATATAAATATTTGATATGCAGGATATCTGATATGTGACCCCCAATGTGACTGATAGACCCAATGTGCTAGAGTGCTTGCCTAGCAGGTACAAAGAAAGCCCTGGGTTCAATGTGGGGAGGGGGTGCAACCACAAGAAAATAAATAAATAAATAACAAGAAAGAAAGAAAAAGAGACAAAAAAGAAAAGAAAAAGGAATGAAACAGGCTTGGTAGCAACATATCTAGGAGGCTGAGGCAGGAAAATTGAGGGTTCAGAACCAGGGCTACCTATAAGATTCTGTTGAAAGAAAGAAGGAAGGAAAAAAGAAAGGAAGAAGGAAGGAAGAAGGAAGGGAGGGAAAGAAGGAAGAAAAAAGAGAATATTTCATTTGCCTTTATAACTGATTCTGGTTATTGGTGTTCAAGCTACTCAAACTGTGATCCTGATTGAAAACACAATAAGGAATAGTTTAAGATGATGCTTTATACAAAGCTATACATATATACAAACAACTCTGAAGGTAGAGGCGTTAACTCCAAATTTTGGAGCCTAAGAGGTGCTACAAATTATACTGGGTTCCAACCAGTGATTAAAGTTGAGGTAACAGCATTTGGACTTGGCCTTAACATTGTGCCGGGGGGAGGGGAGAGTACTGTGGCCAAGACGAAAAGCTTCATGTTCCATAATTAATAATGGTAAAATAGAACACTCCTGGATTAAATTAAATAAAATGAGAACGTGACATGATAAGAAAGAAACCTACAGAATTCTACTATTCCAGGTTTTTCATACTGGTACAATTTGATGGCAATCCCAAGGGTCATCTGTCATTGTGTCGGATTTTGATAGAGAAGGATGACCCACAGGAGCAGCCTTGCTGGGCTTGAGGGTTATTCAACACTTGAAATGAGCTTCGGATAAGTTCTTGGCTGAAGTCCACCTGGGCCCCTTTCACGAAGGCCAAGCTATCAGAGTCAACCACCACTCTGGCTCCACCCTGTTCAAATACCCTGAAAAGACAAGAGGAAAAGCATTAATGACCAATATCACAAACACCGAGAACCCATCACCCTGAGGCCACTGATGCACATCCTGTTCTTAATAGATGGAATATTGCTTTGGACTTCTATCGGGTGCTGACTTTCTCTGAAGCAGAAAGATAGGAGAAATATTGGACTTGACCTGAATCTAGTCCAGCCTCTCAACTGACTACCCAATGGATTCTAAGTATGCCTATTTTCTTCCTTATTTTGAAACAAGAGGACAAATCTTTGCTGTATCCTCACAGTATGGGGAGGGTGGTTTGGGGATAAAAGTGTTTCTTAAACTGGGGTCACTTGTATCCCTCTGATAGAGCCTGCAGAGACCCATCCGTCCTCCTTGCCTGTCGTCGGGGTTAATAACTGTATCCAGCGAAAACTTGTATTGGAATCCGGAGCATCCACCTCCCTCCACTTGCAGCCTGAGGAATTCTGACCCTTCGGTGATTTCCAGCAGCCTCTGAAATGGAGGAAAGAGGATCAAGAAGGCCAAGCAAGCGGGGGATAAAGAAAGGGGTGGACGAAATGCAACTCTTCTGGAGCCCTCCTGGGCACCGCCGCCGCGCGTCCGGCCTCCTACCTGGACACAGCTTTCTGTGAGGCGGATCTGTCCCTCGCCAGCCTCTGGATTGGAGGACGTCGCTTCCCAGCGGGTCAAAAGCCCGGGAGAGGGCGCGAGGAGCCTGGGATGTGAAGGAGGAGGAGGATGAGTCCGGGGACCGAAGTGGCACCTGATGACCTTTCAGTGGTCGCCTCGCACCCGAACCTGGCGACACCTTTATCTGAACTGCCAAACCCTCACCTCCCCCGAGAAACCCAGCACCCTTCCTCCTAAGTGACCTTCCACCCTTGGTACCTGCCCCGGGGCCAGGGTATGACCGCCCTGAACGCCGCGGCCGTTAGCGACAAGGGCCTGGTGGCCGCCATCTTGCTCCGCAAGCCCCACCCCTAGCATGGTCCAAATCCCCGCCTTAGCCGGGGCTTCGGGAGGCGGGGAGATGGGGCGGGGGGTGGTTTGCAGAGTCCCCGCCCCTAAGCATGCCTATTGGATAACGAGATAAAAGGGCTTTGATTGGCTGAAAACGCTTCCAATTGCCGACGCGGGGCGGTACCAATAGAGTGGGACGAACGCAAAGAGGAGGAGCGGGGGTCTCTGCAGGCCCTGCCTGGGAGCGGAAGAGATGGGCGGGCACAAAGGGCGGGCTGCACGCCAGGAGCCCCGGAGCCCCGGAGCCCCGGGCGGGGCGCGGGCGGGCCTTCGCTGGTTACTGGTCACAAGTGGACTGACCCGGCTCCTCCCTCGGCCCGCCGTGACAAGTTTATCTTGTGACTGCTGCCCCTGCATTTTCCTTCCTAGACCGCGGAGCCTGCTTACTTATTCACGATGCGTTTCCTGGCCGCCACGGTCCTACTGCTGGCGCTGGTCGCCGCCACCCAGGCCGAGCCCCTTCGCTACAAGGACTGCGGTGAGCCCTGAGCACTCTCGAGGAGACCCGTGGGCTGGGTTGGGCGGGTTCCTAGAACGTGGGGGCTCTGGGAACCCTGGGTGGAACGGGCTGGGTTGGGTTCGAAGGTACCACCAGCCTTATTGAAACTTAGCACCCCCCGTCCCCGCCCCGCACAACTTTGTCTTTCCTTGCATCTCCTTGCAACGCGTGTTTTGGGGTAATCTCTTCACTCTCAAGGCAAACCTTGTGCCGAAGTTCTCTAAAGTTTGATGGGTGGACGTCATTCAAATCCGCATGTAGTCTGACCACTCGAGGGGGTGGAGACAGGAGGGTTGCGAGTCAAAGCTAGTCTGGGCTGTGTAGTGAGACCTGTCTGGAAAAAAATAAATACGTGCATAAATAAGAGCAAAAATAAAACTATAGGGTCGACAGCGGGTCTGCATCCAACACGGATTGGGGAGATGGGCGGGGAGAACGTCGTTTGATTTACTCTCCGCGTATCTTCACTAGCCTTTCCCCTTTGTTCGTTTGAAGTCTTCTCTTTGGTTGGGATGCGGGCTGTGAGGCAGTCTCATTTTGTAGCCCAGTTTGGCCTTCTAAGCTTTTTTTTTTTCCCCTTGGTGACTCGACAAAATCCAGTTCTTCCCGTAGTTTATACTTTTACAAAATAGGGTTCCCTTTGGGCTAACGAATTTAGCGATTCTTGACCCGAGTCTCCTATAAAACTCATATTTCTGCCGGGCGTTGGTGGCGCATGCCTTTGGTCCCAGCACTCAGGAGGCAGAGGCAGGCGGATCTCTGTGAGTTCGAGACCAGCCTGGTCTACAAGAGCTAGTTCCAGGACAGCCTCCAAAGCCACAGAGAAACCCTGTCTCGAAAAAAACCAAAAACCAAACAAACAAAAAACTCGTATTTCTAGTAATACCTTGTGACACCTAACTCCCTCCCAACGCTGCCACTGGACTCTTTGTTGGAAAATATAACAGAGGGTAGAAATCTCGAGTTCATCCCATCAAGCCTATACAATTAATTGCTAGAGCAATTGGCGTGGGGGTGGGGTGGAGTGGGGTGTTAGAGGTGGAAAGGCACAGCGATAAATGAAAGACAGAAACTGATTTTGTAAAATATGTGAGCAGGAGGGAACCACGGAGATCACAATGAATCATTGAATTAAAGACTTGTTGGAGAAATGGCTCAGTGGTTAGGAGTGCCCACTGTTCCAGAAGACAGAACTGCATGTATCTTCAACTCCAGGTAGTCCAACTCCTCAGGCCTCCTCAGGTACCAGCACTCACAGGCACAGGCATACCTCTGATAACCCTAATTGAGGAGGTGGGGGTGGGGTAGATTAAGTAGCCCTTCCCAAAGTCACATGGCTGAATGCGGAACCAAGTTAAGTATGCTTCCTCGTAGCCAGTAGTAGTAACTACTCAAATTAACAAGGACTGATGCTTGGTAATACTTCACAGATGCCATTTCACTAAACTAGGAGTCTAGCCAAAAGTGGCTGTTTCTTCAAAACTTTTTTTTTCCCCCCTTTCAGGGTTTCTCCGTGTAGCTTTGAAGCCTATCCTGGCACTCGTTCTGGAAACCAGGCTGGCCTCAAACTCACAGAGATCCGCCTACCTCTGCCTCCCAAGTGCTGGGACGAAAGGCGTGCAACACCAACGCCTGGCTTAATTTTTATTTTTAATGCATGTGTGTTCATGTGTGCCCAAGCTTGTGGCAGCCAGAGTACAGCCCCGCAGGTGTCAGCCTCAAACACACTGTCCACTCCTTTTGATGTCTCATTGGCCTGGGGCTCACCAGTTAATCTAGATTGGCTCAACAGGCAGCCCTGTTGTCCTCCATGTGTGTGCCACCATGAGTGGCTTTTTTGTTTGAGTGAGACAGGGTTTCTTTGTGTAGCTCTGGCTGTCCTGGAACTTGCTATGTAGACCTAGCTGACTCTGCCTCCTGAGTACTGGTATTAAAGGTGTGCACCATGACAACCTGGCATTTTTGTGTGGATTCTGAGAATTGAACTCTGGTCTTCTGTTTGCGAAACAAGCACTTTATCCACAGAGATATTCCCTTCCACCCATCTTTTGTCAAGGTTAGGACCAGCAGTTGGATGAAGGCACTGTATTAATTTTATTAGCTCATTCTTCACCATCTATTTCACAGGAAGGAAACCAAAGCACATAGACTAACTTGCCTAAAATCCTACAGCTCCGAAGCAGAGATTGATAAGTCTCTATGAACTACTTTGGACTTCAGTATTTTCCTTGTTGTTAGTGGTTTTTGTTTGTTTGAGACAGCTTTGTAGGCCAGCCTGAACTCACAAAGATCTGCCTGCCTCTACATTAGGAAGTGCTAGGATCAAAGTCATGTACCACCTTGCTTACATTTTTTTTGAAGACAGGTATATACCTTTGGGAAGAACTTGTTTTTTATATTTTAGTTTTTGATATGTATATATGTAGGAGGGCCCACACATGCATAGCATACATGTGAAGTCGGAGAACAACTCATTCCTATGAGTTGGTTCTTCCCTTTCTTTCTCTGGGTTCTGGGGATTGTCAGCCTTGGTAGCAAGTACTTTTACTTGCTGAGCTATCTCTCAGGCCTAGGGAGCTTGAAAGAAAGGAGGTAGGGGGTTCCCATGACAGATTGTGAATTAGGAAATACAAGGTAAAAATTTCAGGACCCAAATAAGAAGACTTTGTATTCCATTCTGTGCCTACCTTCTCCTGGGGTGGGATTTCCTCAAGTGAGACATGGAGGTTCAAACACTACTTACGAAATATTTGCAGTAGGAGCTAAGAGGTTTGTTCTTATTGACATTTGAAGTCCGGGAACCTCTTGTCAGGGGGCAGAAAAAAAGAACTGCACAGAAGAACTGTGAGTACCCTTTCCTTTGATCCCATGAGATCATGTGACCCAAATTTGAAGAACCAGCAGGTAGAGCTGGATGCTGAAGCCTTGACACAAGCACCAGATTTTCAACTTTATTTTTCCTGTCTACCAATCGTGGGATGGAGTGAGAGGCTGCTTCTCACACTGCAGAGAGTGTCAAGAGCGTGTATGCAAACAAGCTGGGAGACAGGGAGTACAAAGTGTCATTTACAGACCCCCAAGGAGTTACTAATCAATCAGTGTAATGATAGAGGGAATTCAAGACACCCTTCCAACCTGACCGTGAGCCCAGGTAGAGAAAGTCAAGTGCATTCACTTTGTCGTTTCATTTTCTTCATGAACAGTTAGTCCTGAGCCAACCTAGGAACTACATAGCGGGCCATGTAGTCTCAACTTGTGATTTGCCTACTTTCTTCATCCAACTTTCAAGACAACAAGAGTCCATACTACCGGCTGCAAACATTATTTTTGTCATGAAGTGTATTACGGTGAGACGCTTAGCTTTCAGGACAGAGGAGGAGGCCTTGCTTACCTTCCCAGGAGCAGCTGTTTTAGTTCATGGACTGAATCCAGAAATAATGGTAATTATAGTCAACAACTTCAGCAGTGCCACCTTGTTCCAGATCTGCAGATATGTTGGTTCACTACCCTTAGGGCAGCTCCAGATGTTAAGTGTCTTGCCCTGAGGCTACACAGTAAGCCATTAAACCGGTAAGACTTCAAATGCAGGTGATAGGTAAGTCTGAACATTCAGTTAAAGTAGCTGAAAAGTATCACTAACCTGCCCTGTCACGGCCACTGTTGCCAGGCTGTTTGCTCCTTCTCCCATTCTGCTGCTCAGTGTCAGAGGCTTGAATTACCTCTGTTTTTCTGACCGTTATTTTTTAAACATAACTAGTGTTTACAAATATTTTATTTCCAGCAACTGTGCAGCCCTTAGCCTAGTCATTTTACTAGAGAGGGAAAGAAATCTAGGAAGGAGTACTTGTAACTGGTAACTAGTACTGTACAGGAGTGTGTAGGGTAAAAGCCTGGGCCCTGGCCTCCCCTACAAGCTAGGCTTGCCCACACATCTCAAATGCCAGTTAAAGGGACAAGTAAAGGGGGCCTGAGGTATGGCTCAGTGATTTAGGGTACTTGTTGCTCTTCTGAGGATTCAGGTTTGGTCCCCAGCACCCTCGTGGTGGCTCACAACCATCCATAGTTCAGGGGATCCAGTGCCCTCTTCTTACCTTCATGGGCACCATGTATATGGACATATGTGTAGGCAATACAGTCACACACAAAAAATAAATAAACGTAGCCAGGAGATGGTGGTGTATGCCTTTAGCCCCAGCTCTCAGGAAGCAGAGGCAGGCTAGCCTGGTCTACAGAGTGAGTTCCAGGACAGCCAAAGCTATGTAGATAAACCCTGTCTCAAATAAATAAATAAATAGACCTTAAAAAAAATTTTTTTAAATGTTTTTTTGAAAAGAGCAAATAATATTGAAAAGCTGAGAAAGGAGTTTATTCAGTGTGGCCATATTGGCGAGAAGAACATACAGTCAAGGAGGAACCGCCAGTCAAGCTTTGGGGCACTGATAATAGGTTCATATTTAAATCAAGGGCAGGAGAGATGAATATTAAGGTAGTCAGCTTAGGT